TTGGGCCGTGTACAAGGGCGCTGTGGAGCCTTGGTAGCCCCAGCGGTACCCTTTCTTCCCCTTTAAAAAAAAGGTGCTCCCTTTGTTAATGCTAGGTTACTGGGCAACCCAGGAGTTCAAAAGGGCCGAAGTCCTTTTCCTGGATAAGCTCGGCGCCGGCGGCGGTGAGTGCAGCATGCCTCAGCTTCGTTCCGGTCCCCTCCGCCCGCTCAGCGCGCTGAAGGGCAACAAGAAGACGCTGTCCCAGCCGCGCCTACATGGCATCGGGCGAGACGGGAACGTGGCTGTGGAGGCCAATGACTCCAACCCAAAGGGCGTGATGAGCCGCCGGGGGGTTTTGGTCGCCGGTGGCGTCTTCGGCTCGCTGCCGTTCCCGGCACCGGAGCCCTTCACCGTCCGCGTCACGTCGCCGACGTGCGAGGTGTTCTTCATGACCAGTGTGGACTTCCCGAAGATTCCCAGGAAGCTTCTGGATGTCCTGAATGAGTATGTTGCGTCCTCCACAACCTGGCGCCTGGGGTGTCATCAGAGGAGCACCGAGTTGCGAAAGAACGGTCGGGGGGGCCGAGATGCGAAGCTGCCGGAAGAGGACAAGTCGCAATGGATGTCTTCCACAGATGACAACGAGCTTGTGGAAGAATGCCGCGAAGTGAGAAGGAGTCACTTTGAAGATTTTCAGAAGGCAGCGTTCCCGGGAACTTGACCGCGTGCGTTGATGCAGAGTTTGCCGTTTGTTGTGTTCTTGTGCAGCGTCATATGGTGCAGGGACGCCGGATCCTGAAACAGGGATAATGGGATTGTCAGAAGGCTGTTAGCTCATTATTCGCCGAACACTGGGGGCTGAGAAAGTAACATGTTTCGCCCTCGAAAAGTGAAGGTCTGCCAACACGAAGTGTGGCACTGTTGAGCCCAGCGTGGCTGGGCCTTTATTTCAGGTCTACCATCAGGTTTCACACACATTCTTGTGTGTGTCGTGCGATCTGCCGTAAGGCAAGTGCACGCACAGACGGAATGCATGTGGTAGACAGACGTTACCCGTGACGTTTGCATGCGCGAAAGTGAGTATGAGTCTTGGTGGTGCTTGGCTCGATCTTTACTTGGAGGTTCATGGGTACTTATAACCCCAATGATAAGTCTACTTATAACCTACTTAGGGGACTTAGGGGGCTAGTACAGTTAGAATTGGGGTTATAGATACCCTGAACCTCCAAGTACATCTTGCTGGGCACATGACAGTGTTGCTGAAGCGATGTAGTTCTCACTGCCGAGCCCCTTCGAAGGCTGGCCATGCGCAAGTGTGAGGTTCGACGCCCTAAACCCTAAACCCTAAACCCTAAACCCTAAACCCTAAACCCTAAACCCTAAACCCTAAACCCTAAACCCTAAACCCTAAACCCTAAACCCTAAACCCTAAACATCCCTAAACCCTAAACCCTAAACTCTAAACCCTAAACCCTCTAGAGTGCCATGAGTCAGACTTTTAGACCGAATCTTTGCCTGCCTTTGTGCGAGTGTGAGAGCCGAAACCCTGAACCCTACACCCTGCACCCTACACCCTAAACCCTAAACCCTGCAGCCCCAAAAAGGGAGAGAAATCGCTCCCGCAGCCGAGGCATCCTCTACGCCTCCATGGGGGCTGGCATGGCCTCGGCGATGACTGGGGACCTCGCGAAGGCGGGGGTTTAGGGTTTAGGGTTAGGGTTTAGGGTTTAGGGTTTAGGCTTTAGGCTTTAGGCTTTAGGCTTTAGGCTTTAGGCTTTAGGCTTTAGGCTTTAGGCTTTAGGGTTTAGGGTTTAGGGTTTAGGGTTTAGGGTTTAGGGTTTAGGGTTTGGGATGACTGGGGACCTCGCGAAGGTGGCGGGAGGCTTTCGGGCTTTGCGGGCTCCCGTATCTTTGTCGGGTGTGGGGTTTAGGGTTTAGGGTTTGAGGTTTAGGGTTTAGGGTTTAGGGTTTATTTAGGCGCGTCCCGGCCTCAGCCCAGGGGTTAAAAGGGTTTATTTAGGGTTTAGGGTTTAGGGTTTGAGGTTTAGGGTTTAGGGCTTTCGGGGGGGTTTACAGGGTTTGAGCAGGCGGTTCCAGGGCTGCTTTTTCGTTTTTTCTTTGCAGGGGAGCTGGGATCGGGCTTCCGTTCGCAGGTTGTTTAGGGTTTAGGGTTTAGGGTTTAGGGTTTAGGGTTTAGGGTTTAGGGTTTAGGGTTTAGGGTTTAGGGTTAAGGGTTTAGGGGGAAGGAAGTGAGGTGGGGTTCAGTGGTTTTTTAATGAGGGGCCAGGTAGTTTGGGCCTTCCTGCCGCGGCCCTCGAACAAAATGTAGGGTCTGGGGTTCAGCGTGTACTTTGTAAACCCTAAACCCTAAACCCTACACCCTACACCCTAAACCCTAAACCCTAAACCCTAAAAACCCTAAACCCTAAACCCTAAACCCCAAACCCTAAACCCTAAACCCTATGTCAGGAGCCAGGCTCCGAACCTTCCGCCTAGTCATATTTCGATGCGTGCTGCGCTCCCAACCGCCAGGCCAAAGTGGCTGCACATGCCGCCCGGCGTGCCCCAAGTGACGCCAGAAAGCGTCCTCAGCTATAATTCTGGTTGCATATGAGGCTGGCCTACCAGAAAATTCCGGCTGAACGCGAGCTTGGGTTTTCTAGGAATTTGAGGCATAGCTTGTTACTGTGGCCTAGAGCCAGAAGAAAGGCCGCCTTTGCTGGCGAGGGTTTCAGAGATTTTCTCATGGGGGGCTTACTAAACCCTAAACCCTAAAACTCTGAACCCTAAACCCTAAACCCTAAACCCTAAACCCTAAACCCTAAACCCTAAACCCTTGGTGCTGTTGGGCTACGTGATTTTGTTGTTTGCATGCTTGTGACTTTGAGGCATGTCCATGTCCAAGCCCAAGCCCCACCATCCCTTCACCCCCCCAGCTAGGCCCTAGCCAAAAGTTCCTCCTGGCATTATTTACCAAAACATGCTCCCCTTCCCCTTCCCCCCCCCCCCCCCCCCCCAGTAAAACACAAAGAAGCAAAATGAAAGGAAGAAAGAAGAATCAGGGCCGTGATGCGTGAGCTTATGATGCAGAGGCCTTAAATTAGGGGGGAGGGGGGTGGCCCCTGCACCCAGATGTCCCAGGACATGTTTGAAATCATTGACCGCCAGTCGCTGATCAATGGCTTGGAGCCTACTGGGCACCTGGGCCCACATAACTAGTAATTGCTTAAGAACCCCCCCCAACAAAATTGAACATATAGAATATTCCTCCTTATAAGGGTACTATAGGGGTTATGAGTTTTTTTTTTTTTTAATCTTTTGGGGTTCTTAAGCAAATGGTAAATCAGCTTCGGGAGCTCGATAGCCTCAGGTTCAGCTACAAGCATCGATGCTGCAAGGATCCGCAGGTTCCTAGGAGTGTGTGATATGCTTTGGGCTTCGCAGAGAAGGCCACGAAGACTAAGTCCTACTACACCAGCTCCACGTTGTGGTAAACGAAATATACACCACTATGACATGCAGCCGGGGTACCGTGCCTTAGGCGAGCACTGGAAGCGGGTGCCAGCGTTGGCCGGATCGAGTGGCTCGGGCTGCAACATCCATGTGCAGAGCGATGAGCACCGGCATAGTAGACGCCTGACGTACGGCGAGACATCTCTTGCGACTGAAGGTTTCAAGATGTGCGCTTCACCTACCCGTTCCGGCCAGATGTCCAGGCAGCCAGATGCAAGAAGCACCAAGAAGCCATATAATATGCACATGCTCAAATACAAAACATATGTAAATATAAAGATCATAAATGAAAAAGCTAAATACAGAATTAGATATATGAATATAGGTTTATAGATGTAGAGCATAATGCCAGTTCTTAGCTTTCACCCGGAGACATGTTCATGATTGAGCCATGAGGGCCTTTGGGCAGCTTTCATCTCCTGCCCCTCCCGGCTCTGAACCCTGTAAATCCTCAGCCTGAACCCAAAAACTTCCTAAAGCCTTAAGCCCAAACACAAGCGTAGAAGTGCACCTGTGCTGAGGGTTGAAAATTTAGGGTTCAGTGTTGAGGGCACTAAAAGGTTGGCATAAGAAAGCCCTAAGCCCGAAATCCCCATGGTTGCTTCCCCTTCTTTCTAGGGGGTTTTTTGTAGGACACAAGAGGGGTATACAAGGGGTACCCACTTCAGGGCCCATATCAAGGGACCATGTAACTACTCTAAACCCCTAACCCCTAACCCCTGACCCCAAACCCCAAACCCCAAACCCCAAACCCTAAACCCTAAACCCTAAACCCAGAGTGTCCGAGAGGTCAGCTAAGCGGGTGGCAAAAAAAACCCTAAACCCTAAACCCTAAACCCTACTTCCCCTTGCTAGAGGTGCTCCAGGGCGTGTCCTTCGTCTTGGAGGCCGGCCGCTCTGCCGGCTTGGTCGGCCCGTCCGGGGGCGGCAAGAGCACCGTCATGGCGCCCTGGCCTTTTCAGGCTTTAGGGTTTAGGGTTTAGGGGTTTAGGGTTTAGGGTTTAGGGTTAGGGGTTTAGGGTCTAGGGTTTGGGGTTTGGGGTTTAGGGTTTAGGGGCTTCACGGGAATATGGCGACTGCAAATGTGTTCGTGGGGCTCTGTGCACACAGCTCCCCTCAAACCCGTCGCCCCTTAAAGGCCGAGGGTTCGGGCCCAACAGGACCCTGAACCCTAAACCCGAAACGACAAATTTAGGGTTTTTTAACGTTAAAACAACCCTAAATGCGACCAAGGCATGAAGGACCCTGAACCCAAAACCCTAAACTTCAAACATTGCCCTGAAATGTCGTGCTGTCTGCACGGTGACCTCGAAGGTAGCTTACTCCGAACAATTTTTCCCTTTCTCTAGTTTGGTGGAAAGTGTTGTGGGCGTTTCGCATCCCTGCAGTGTGTTTGCGAGGCGAGGCTGCTAGGCAGGTGGCAAGGAGAAACAGACAAACACCGACCAGTTTCCCAAGTCCCGAACCACACCTCAGCAAACGCCCAAAGGCCATGCTCCAGCGCTTTTACGATCCTGCCTCCGGCGCCGTGCTGATCGGCCCCCTGGTTTCCGAATACCCTCCCTACACTTATGAGTTTTGTCGCCAATAAGGATGGGTTTAGTCTCCAGGGTAAGATGAAGACTTTTTAAGGTTTTGGGTGAGAGAGACAGAGAGAAGAACAGCACATTTACGCTTGCAAGTCCTAATCATAATCATCAAGTTTGGACTATGGGGGTTTACGAAAATAGGGGACCCCAAATATAGATTTTCAAAGAGTAAGATCCCCACATCATAAGGACCCCAATAAGGGTACCGCAAATATCGTTAAAACACCCAGATGGGCGCCCGCTTCTTGTTTGCATTCTGATGCGGCGCAGGAAAAGATCGAGTGCCACTGAGCGAAGTCAACATCAGGTGGCCTTGGGGGGTGGGGGGGGGGGGTGTGTGGGGGGCTGTGGGGGGGGGGGGGGGGGGGGGGGGGGGGGGGGGGGGGGGGGGGTGTGACGGCAGACTCTCTAACACTATTTAGTTAGGGGAGTGTACATCTCAGAACTTAGATAGGGAGTCAGAACCCCAAAGCCCTGAGCCCGAAGCCCTAAATCAAGGGCGAAAAGATGTAGGGAGGGGAGTCATTCCTCAGCCTACTGGTGGCATGCGACCTGAGAATTGGGTGGGTCACGAAAGGCAAAGCGGCTGCATCAAACATCGGCTCGTGTTGAGGAGGTGAATGGCTTCAGTCTTTCTTGGGTCTTGGGCTTCTTGCAAACAGAAGCTCCCAAACCTCTTCTTCTCTCCCTCTCCTTCATTCCCTTGTGAGGTGGTGGCGCAAGCAGGTGGGCTTCGTGGGACAGGACCATAGCACTTGCGGTGTAGGGCTCAGGAAGGAAACCCATCACTCCCTCATTGTTGTTCAGCAGTCTTTGGAATGGAGGCCCTTAAGAACTTTGTGCTGTTCGCACCCGGGGTCTTGCCTAGTCTTGTCTGACTTCTCCCTAAACCCTAAACCCTAAACCCTAAAGCCTAAAGCCTAAAGCCTAAAGCCTAAAGCCCTAAGCAGGAGCCGATTCTTTTCAACGCCTCCATCCTGGACAACGTGGCTCGGTGTGACTCTAACTAAAAGAGATTGATTGAAAGGCTCGGCAGAGATGGTGTACGGAGAAAGCCTTAAACCGTCCGAAGCCCTTAGCCGTTTTGGCTCACGAATGTTTTCCCGTGCTGCTCGCACTGCAGTGAGACGAACCGCTACGATGCCAAAGCCAGCAGCGCCGCCACTCTCGACCACGCTGACGCCGCTGCCAGAAGGGACAGCCCAGCCACTTACTCAGCCAATAGTTGAACTTTAAACTTTTTGGGTTTCCTTATTTAGTAGGAATAATAAAAGTTTAACCTTCTTGCCCCTTGGTTATTGGAGAAGTAAGGCCATTTCCAGCCTCAGAGTTGGTTGCCGCGGGGCCCGCTCTGATTTTCGCGATCCGTCGCCCCGGCTGAGGCATGTGCCGCAAGGAGGCGAAGGAGGCGGCCTCCCACATGGATGAGTTCAAAGCTGCTGGTGCCACTCGTGTGGTTGCCCTGGTGAAGGAAAACTTGGAGAACGAGGTCCAAGAGTTCCGCGAGTTCTGGCCCGGTGACTCGGACCCGGAGTGGGCCCCTGATTTCCTTTTTTTTTTTGGGGGGGGGGGGGGGGGGTTGGGGTTCCCTTCATAATCCCCTTAAAACCCAAAAAAGGGACACACCCCGTTTTATTCCTAGGTTACTCCTGGTCTAGGTGAAGTTTGCATGGACAAGGAGATCCAGTTTTTCAAAGCCCTCGGCGGAGGGGAGACGCACCAGCCCCTGGGACTATTCTCGTTCATCGGCATGATGCTGAACCCCTTCAGCTCCAGCAAGACCAAGGCCAACATCAAGAACACCTCAACTCCCGGAAACATGAAAGGCGAGGGCTTCATCGCTGGTGGCTGCTACGTCCCTTGGTAGCCCCCCATGGTACCCCTTTACCCTTTTATTTTTTTTCGGTTGTGGGTTCCCTTGCAAAGGAACAAACCCCCCCAAAAAAGGGTGCCCTTATTATAAGATGGTTACCGGGCTACTTGGAGGTTCAGGGTACTTATAACCCCAATCATAACTGTACTTATAAGCCCCCCGAAGTCCCCTAAGTAGGTTAGAAGTTGACTTATAATTGTGGGCATAAGTACCCATGAACCTCCAAGTAGCCCTAAACCCTAAACCCTAAACCCTAAACTCCCTAAACCCTAAACCCTAAACCCTAAACCCTAAACCCTAAACCCTTAACCCTTAACCCTTAACCCTTAACCCTTAACCCTTAACCCTTAACCCTAAACCCTAAAGCCTAAACCCTAAACCCTAAACCCTAACCCTAAACCCCCCCCCCAAAACAGGGAGAAGGGTACCAAGGTCCTGAACAAGGATGGGACCCCGGCCTTCAGCCACCTAGAGGAGAACCTGGGCGACCACGCAAAGCCGGAGGACATCGTCGCAGCCTTGCAGACGGCTTCGAAGATGTAGAGGCCATAAACCCTAAACCCTAAACCCTAAACCCTAAACCCTAAACCCTAAACCCTATACCCTAAACCCTAAACCCTAAACCCTAAACCCGGAACCCGAAACCCGAAACCCTAAACCCTAGACCCTAAACCCTAAACCCTAAACCCAAGGGTGCGAGGATGGCTCTCTCTGTCATGAGCGCACGGTGCACCTCGGAGACTCTGCAAAGCCAGTAATGACGCAGTTCAGCTGCCTAGGGTTTTCCCCCTGCTCAAGCTGACTTCTGCTGAGACCTGAGCGCTGCAGCTACACGGAAAGTGGATCGCCGGGAAGACATCCTTGTGAAGAGCTTGAGACATTGCTGTTGACGTCTTTTTTACATCAAGTAGGAACATACCCAGCAAGTGCCAGCGATCCATTTCTCCTAGCCCAGATACACCTTGCCATGTCAGATTCCAGCCAGAGCTGCACATGGGTCGAACTTCTTGTTGCCGCATGCCAATGTCTGTAGATGACAAGTTGTAGCAGTAAATGTTGCTTAAACTTGGGCATGGCATGGGGCTTTGCCTGAGGATAGACGTACCTAGGATGCGCATGGCTGGAGGTTGAGATGCTCACTGCTCTTTGTTTTCACCGAGTCGCCACACCGAGGAAGGGCACGTCGTTGCTCGCAGAAAAAAATACGGTGGTGGCTTGGGCTTTGTCCTGTTAGGGCAGTCGCAACGCGCGCCATTCGAGACCTCCTGAGAATTTTCGGTTAGCCTGGTTTAGTGGGGGATAGCTGCATGGTCGGTCTTTACACACAGGCTGGACCAAGAGCCTCGCCTGATTGTGCTCGTTGTGAGATTCGAAGCCCTAATCCTAAGCCCTACACCAAATTCTAAACATCTGACAAAGGTCATGTATGGGCTGGAAGAGGGCGAGGAGTTCTCGCCAGACCGCCTTGAGCAATGCAAGAAGATGCTTGGCACAAAGAGGGCAATTGGCTCGGAGCCCTTCAACTCAGTGGATTGTCAGGATTGAGATACCCCCTAAACCCTAAAACCCTAAAATCCTAGAGGGCTTAAACGCCTAATCCGCTGGAAGGTTTTCACGAAGCCGCGGGGCCTGAGACTCAACCAACAGGCCCAAAGAAAATCTGAGCACTTGAAACCCTGAGCTCTCAACCCCTAGACCCCGATAAATCCTTCAACCCCTAACCCCTAAAGCCCTAGACCTCTGTACCCCAAGGAGCCCCCCTAAAACCCCAAGCTGCCAACCACGAAGCTAGGGCATACGCAGTATCGGCCCTTAATATGGGTCCCTTGTTATCAAACCCCCTGTATGGCGAGTTCTCTAAATTATGGTCCCTCTCTTTGGGTACCCTCAATCAGAGGGGCCGCCTAGTGACCATGCACACTCTACAACGGCCCATGCTTCGGATCCCTATGCACAAGGCTAGGGAACCACCCCTAAGCCCTAAACCCTAAGCCCTAAAACCTAAACCCTAAACCCTAACCCCTGAACCCTGAACCCTAAACCCTAAACCCTAAACCCTAAACCCTAAACCCTAAACCCTAAACCCTAAACACTAAACCCTAAACCCTAAACCCTAAACCCTAAACCCTAAACCCTAAACCCTAAACCGCAACCTTAGAGAAGCGCCAACCTCCCAGGATGTCCAACCTCACGTTCATCGATGGCCACAAGGCGCCCCTGCCTTGCCTGCGCTTCTTTTGGGAGGGGTCCTGGTCAGGGTTTAGGGTTTAGGGTTTAGGGTTTAGGGTTTAGGGTTTAGGGTTTAGGGTTTAGGGTTTAGGGTTTAGGGTTTAGGGTTTAGGGTTTAGGGTAGTTCTTATGCGACCACTTGGAACTTGGGATTCTGGGTAGTTTGTATTTTCTGGTAAGATAGGGGTTCTACTCTGGTATATATGGGTAAGTAAGAAGGCTCCTGCATTGGGGTGTTTAGGGCTGGCTCTGAGGAGACAGACAGTACCGTAGTTTAAAAGCTCGTACAATCATTACTCAGAATTCAGGGTTTCAATGTTCAGCTGAAGTGGGTACAAGGTTTTATAAGGTACAAACCTTTAAGCCCTAAGCCCTAAGCCCTAACCGAAAAAAGCGTTCATATTTTGGGAAATCCGAAGGAGCGAAAACGCAGGGAAGGCGCACATTTCTGCTGTTCAACAACACCGAAAAACAGGAAGACGCGAAGAGGGGGATCTCCCAGAAGCTGAAGCATGCAACAGCCCATGAAAACCCTCACGAAAGCCCTCAGAGCCTGCTGCACAAAGAAGGGTGCCTAGTGTTCGCGTGCCCACAGAAAGGTCTTCTTGGGGTTGAGGGTTTCCAGTGCCAGGGACATCGAATCCCACATCCTCAATCAAAACCCTGCCCTTGAAATCCTTTATCCAATGCACCTTGAAAAAGACTGTGATGTGAACAGCCTACAGAAACCCTCCAAACATCCTACAAATTTTCTCCGCCCTGGGCCCTAAACTCCACACCTCCGAAACCATAAACCTCCGAAACCCTAAACCTCTTAAACCCTAAACCTCTTAAACCCTAAACCCTAAACCCTAAACCCTAAACCCTAAACCCTAAACCTAAACCCCAAACCCTAAACCCTAAACCTAAACCCTAAACCCTAAACCTCCGAAACCCTAAACCCTAAACCCCAAACCCCAAACCCCAAACCCCAAACCCCAAACCCCAAACCCCAAACCCCAAACCCCAAACCTCAGCCCAAGTGCTCTCGCAAAGGCGCAGGGCTGGCAGACGCAGGCGAGTCCGAAGCTTAGGGGTTTCGGGGGCCAGGTTTTTTTGTTAGGGGTTAGGGTTTAGGGTTTAGGGTTTAGGGTTTAGGGTTTAGGGTTTAGGGTTTAGGGTTTAGGATTTAGGGTTTAGGGTTTAGGGTATAGGGTTTAGGGTAGCTAAAAGGAAGCCCGTAAGATCAGCAAATCCCTTCAGGAAAAAGGGTCCTCCTCACTCCCTGCACTCTAATCCATCCGAAGACGTTTTTCGCGAGTCCACACTATGAACATCTTCCCAAGTTGCCCCCCCAAACCATAGAATGAAAGCGCTTCGGCTCCTTAGGGTTTGGGTACCTTAGGATGGTTTTATCGCCAAAACCCGAAACCTTAGACCCCTAAACCCTTAAACCCGTAAACCCTAATCCCTCAAACCCTAAACCCTAAACCCTAATCCCTAAACCCTAAACCCCAAACCCTAAACCCCTACCCTTGGCAGGTTGGCCCGCGCGGCAGCCGCCTCTCAGGGGGTCAGAAGCAGCGGGCGGCACGGCCCAACAACGCAACTGATGGGCTGAGGGTTTAGGGTTTAAGGAGTGCAGTAATCCCTTTCCCCGAAGATTAAACCCCCTACCCCCCCTAATATGAAATACTCCAATTGTAGCCACGTTATAGTGTGTGGGGAGTACCGAATATTAGGGGGTCGGGCGAGTTTAATTCCAATCTTCAACCCTTGGCACAGTAGGGGCCTTGGAGGTACAGCATAGTAGTATAAAATGGCAGTGCTTGTGTGGGGCAAGTTTTTTTGGGGGTTTAGCAAGCAGAGAGGAACTATACTTCGTACCGATCTCCCGATACTGGGAGGAAGGGTGATCGACGTATTGGGGGACGGGTGTTCAAGGCAGTAGCTAGGGTTATTCGTTCTCGAATGTCCTTAAACCAGAACCCCTCCACCCTTTGACCCTAAACCCTAAACCCTAAACCCTAAACCCTAAACCCTAAACCCTAAACCCTAAACCCTAAACCCTAAACCCTAAACCCTAAACCCTAAACCCTAAACAATAAACCCTAAACCCTAAACCCTAAACCCTAAACCCTAAACCCTAAACCCTAAACCCTAAACCCTAAACCCTAAACCCTAAACCCTAAACCCTAAACCCTAAACCCTAAACCCAACCCAGAGTTGGAAATCCCCGCCGTCTCGTCTGGTGCTTTCCATGGCGAGGTCGCCATCTGCCGCGCGCTGCTTCGGAACCCACCCATCTTGCCACCTGGCCTTTCGAAGCCAAGTGGCGTGGGCCACGCATCTCCATCTCTTCTCAGCGCGTGCCCCCGATTCCCTGAACCCAAACAACGAGATCCAAGGCTTCTGGACGAGGTGGGTGTGGAAGGGGCAAGTATCATAACTTCAGTGAGAATATTGATGCCTTGAGGTTAAATCTCACACGCCCTAGCCCCAATGCCCTGACATTAATTAAGCAGTGCAAGAAAAGTCTTATGTGGTCCTAAATGTTTTGTTGGGCGGGCTTCAAATAAATACACAGCCCCTGAGCCACCACCCATAGAAAAAGTCCTCAACCCTGAGCCCCACACACTAGCCCTTTTCAAAACACTCTAAACTGCCTTGAACCCGCCCGTTTTGAGCTTGTTGAAAAGCATGTGTGCGTATAGTCGTGTGGGTACGTCCACGGACTGTTTCGTCTCCTGGTTTGGTTTTGTAGGTTTGCTGACTGAGACTTGTTAGCCCTTGTGGTCATTTGCGTATCCTGAGGAGGAAACCAGCGTGCAGTGTGCGAATGCCCTGAGAAGTGTCAATTTCTCCTGAGAAGTGTCAATTTCTCCTCGCTTCGTCCCTGCAGAGTGACATGTGAGGTATCAGCTAGGCACCCTACCCCCAAACCCCAACCCCAAACCCTAAACCCTAAACCCCAAACTCGAAAAAACCCAAAACCCCAAACCCCAAACCCTTAAACCCTAAACTCCAAACCTAAACCCTAAACCCTAAACCCTAAACCCTAAACCCTAAACCCTAAACCCTAAACCCTAAACCCTAAACCCTAAACCCCCGGCGCAGGCCACGAGCGCGTTGGACTCCCAGAGCGAGCGCGTGGTGCAGGCGGCCCTGGAGGCAACCTCCTAGGGTTTAGGGTTTAGGGTTTAGGGTTTAGGGTTTAGGGTTTAGGGTTTAGGGTTTAGGGTTGAGGGTTGAGGGTTGAGGGTTGAGGGTTGAGGGTTGAGGGTTGAGGGTTAGGGTTTAGGGTTTAGTTTAGGGTTTTGGGCTTGGAGGCAACC